CAAGCGCGCCCCATATCCTGAGCTCGGCGGGGAGGACTGGAGCAGAGTTTTGATGCGCCAGGAAGTTCATCTATCGCCCAGGCGTAGGGTCCGGCGCCCTGCTGAGTTCGCTGCCCTTGGAGATATTTATTTATTTGGGGGGAAGGGAGGGCAGGGGGAGAGGAGGGGAACCAGACGAGAGATGAAAACCCGACCGGACTGGGTTGGGACCTCCAGGGCGCTTCCCTGGGAGCAGGCTCACAGCAGCGGGTTTCCCCTCTGCAGCGGGGGGCAATCTAGGATCAGTCTTGGGATCTCCGGGAGCAGTTGACTGGTGCCTCCCACAGCCCTTAGCTTACTCTCCTGGGTTCTGTGCCCGGGGTGACCACTCCAGCCCTGCGGGCGCCTCCCGGCTGGGCTCAGAGGGCCCACCCGCTTGCCTAACTTGTGTGGGAGGCCAAGCTACTTCATTTCGAGCCCCGGAAGGTGGGCGGAAGGAGGAGACCCGAGGCCTCGCCACCATAAGAGGCATGCCGGCCAGGGGGGAAGGGGTACCCTGGGCGGAGGCAGCTAAGAGGGTGCATCCAAGAGGTGCGGTGGTCCAGAGGTTCTCAGGTCCCTGCGCTGCACCTACTCCCAAGACAGCGCAGCCTGGCTCCTCCGGGATCTATTTCATCTTCAAAGTTTGGTCCTGTGCCCTAAAGCTGATTTTCTTCCCTCCCAGCTGCACAATGGACACAAAATTAACGTGCGGACGGTCACCAGGGCCCACAGTTGATTGCAAGAACGTGCGGTGCAGATTTCCCTATTATTTTATTTCTCTTCTGGGCGACCACTCGTTCTGCCGCCCTTTAGAGTCTCAGAGACAGATCTGCTCCAACCCAGGCCTTTTCTCCCCTGCCTTTTATTTGGAGCAAATTGCTCTCGCCATAGAAACCCTCTTCTATGCCCCCTGGCAGCCCGACCCTTCAACACCAGCAGGCTGTGGATGAAGTCTAAGTAGTACTCCACCTGGTACTGCTGTACCTGCACCTGGACTGGGGTGCACTGCAGGACGGTGGGCTGGTTCCTGCGAGCACCCCGAAAGTTTGCTCTCCCAGCTGATGAGTTCCTGGCCTTGCAATCTGGAAAGCGTGGAAGAAGCCCGGTCTTTGCATAGAGGGTCTGGCAGATTGGATCTTTCTCCTCCCTCAGCAAGCACCGTCAGACTTGGCCAAGTGGTTCACGGAGTCATGCCTACAGCCCAGCCCAGAAGATATGGGGGCTATCAGCAGATCTCTCAGGAAGGTGGCTATTAAAAAAAAAAATGCCTGCCCAGGACATAAACGTTGGGAGAGCGGAAGAATCGATCCAAATAAACATTCAGAATTGGGTGGCTGTTGTTCAAACCCGGAGGTCTGGGGGGTTCTGGACCGAGGAAGGCGAGCAGACGCCAGGAGAGGTGTAAAATTCCCAGTTACCCCTCCTAGCCACTTTCCCCTCTCTAATCCCTGAATTGGAGCGACAGCCTAATGCTGTTCCCGGCCAAATTTTCTATGATAACTTTAAGTTTCTATAGAGGTCTCTGCAGGAGGCATAGTGGTGCATTTCGGTCCTTTTCACAATTGCGCTGATATCCCTAAACCCCAACAATGAGCTCCTACCGTGTAAATTTAGAAAGGTCTCCAAGGAGTTCGGGAATCCTCTATGCCCCCGCATTAGTAACAGAGTTCCTAAACCCAGGGTGAAAACCGTAGCCAGTTTCAGACAGACCTGGGGAAAAGATTTTCCTCCTCCCTAGCCCAGGCGGAAGGAAGGGGGGGTGCCGCCGAGCGCGAACTACCCCAACAGTGTCTTAAATGGCTGTAAACTTTGTCGATGCAGATGCGTCTCTCCCGTCGGTAACCGGTTTAGTCTAAGCCATTTCATGTAAAACCCACGAAGCAGAGGAAGCGTGCTAAGAACATAAGATTTAAACCGCAATAATGAAGAGATTTCCTAGAATAAAACACTGATTACAGAGCAAAATCGGAGAAACCCAAGCTTCCCGAAGTTTACATTCCCTTGAGCTGGGGCAGGGGTGGGATCTAAAGTTTTGGGAGCGGGAAAGGAACCCACAGCCCTAGACCTTTTCTCCCGGATGGAGAAAAGGTCCGATGGACCCTGGGGCTGTATATTTCTGGTTAACCAAGAAGCGCCTGGGCTGATCTAGAATTATTTAAATGAACCATACCTTTCTTTTCCGTAGGGGGGGGGGATCAAGATGTTTTGTTGCTTATAAGGAGTTAAAGTCATTGGAGGAGAGTTCACCATCATAAGGGACCTCCTAGAGAGGAAAATTGACCCAAGCAAGGCTGTGCTTCCGAGACAAACACAGGTTTCCTCTTAAACTCTGTCGGCTGGGTTGGTGGTAGAGAGCCTACTTAACATGCATCTGAAGCCCTGGGTTCAATCACCAACACCACCAAAATCATAAACAAATAAATAAACCCTGCCTACTAAACAAAGTTATATTCTTGCCAGGCAAAAATAATTTGGTCTAATTTGTTATCACAATCATTCTTACCCAATAAATTCATACCAATCAGTGATAAAAACAAAGCACAGAGAAATTTTGCTGCAATGTGGTTTTTTTTTTTTTAAAAGCATTGAATTTGGAGCCCTGGACACCCACTATAGGTCAGCTGTATCACTTGCCCATGGATGATTTATGGCAAGTCATCTTAGGCAGCCTCTGCCAGGGACATGATCAGAGTGGGGGCTCCAAAGAAAGAGTTCTGGAGAGAAACCTTTCCTGCTCGAAAATTGAAGGTCACCAAGCTCCACATCCTTCTAGAGGGTAGTATTTAGATCCCTGGAAAGAAAGCAGACTTCAAGACAGCAGAACTCACCCAGGCTCTGTTGGTCAGTGCCCACTGCCTTTCCAGGAGCTGCCTGGGGCCCTGTGACACTCACCAAAATATAAGTGGGATTTCTTGAAAGTTTAGAGAATTTTGGTAAAATGGATATCATTGCTATTTGGATGGAGAAGGAAGCCTGGAAAAAAAAAATCCTTCATGATTTAACAAGTTGAATTAGTAAAAGCTAAAAACAAAATATGTAGAATGTGGATTTTAAAATCCTAAGCAAGCACAAAGTATTTTTGTATGTGTGTGTGGAGACAGGCTCCATCCATAGTTTCCGTCCATTCTTAAAATGCTCCATGGCCGGCATAGAAGGTTCTGGTGCTGCCTGGGGTTTCAATTTTATTCTTGAGTCCTGGGGTCTTACAACTTTTTCAGGCCTGTCTTAAAGCAGGTACTCCCCCCCCCCCCACTCAATACTCTGGGCCACTTAGAATTCCTAGGTGCAGAAAATCAGAGAGGGTCTGTGGCTAAATGACAATGATATCTACTTGATGAATGCTCCCCAAATACAATGTCCCTCTCCCCACATACAAAAAAAAAAAAAAAAAGTCTTCCTTCTTCCACTCTTCTCTTGGATGTCCCTCCTACCTAGGAAGATTACTACCACCCTCCCCATTCCAGATTATATTTTATTTATTTTCAGACACTTAGAGCACATTTTCAGACTTAGTGAGCACGTTTTTACTTCCATATTTAGTTATTACTTTTTTTAATTATTTCACACAAAATGACAAAAGACAGTAAGAGGGGGGAAAATGAATGGAATAAATGGGGACCTGTCCCCATCAAATGCTTACCAGTTAGTTATAGAAAAAAAAATGTTAGAAAGTGGAAACAACTGCAAACCCCCCACTCCAACTCAATCAAAACATCCCTTCCGGAAAAGAGCGACTTGTTTCTTTTTTCTCTTGGAAATGAGTGGTAAACTGAGTTCGGTTTGGTGGTGTTTTCTTAGCTGACTTTTGGCTACAATCAGGCCATTTTCGGACACATTCCCATGTAGGTACCAGGGGTGCTCTGGAGGAAGCTGTCGACGCCTGTTCAGCTAATTTAGGTTTTCTTTGTCTAATTACTGTGGAGCTTAGGGAAAAGGAGCCCGGCTCAGGGCAGTAAACTGACACTCGGTCTCTGTGTGTGGTATCCAGGCAGGGTTTGATGGAAAAAGCCTGCTTCCACTCAACTTCAGGTCACTGTCTGGGGCCAGCCCCAGCCCAACCCCCCTCCCCCTCCCCACCCCCTCTTTCCTCTGCTTTTACAGACCCACCAGTACTCCCAGCTAGGATCAGTCCCTGACGCACTCCAGGGGCACAGAGAGCTGGTGCCAGCCTCAAGGGGCTCAGCTCTGCTGCAGGGAAGGGTCTTTGCTGCATTCTTTACCTGGGTCCCTGCACCATCTCCCCTTCTTCTGTCCCCCCATTTCCCCAGGCAACAACAGATGCCCTTTCACCTTGATCCTTTAAGATAGATGCACAGTGGTGCCAGGCTCTGTCTCTCATTTGGTCCCCTATCTTTCCTCTGGGCCTCCCCATCAGCCCCTGTGTGGCCCGGCCTGCTCCTGGCCTCCTGCTCTCCTCCCGATTCCCAGCCCCTATCCCTGGTCAGACTACATTTCCCTACACGTGTAATCCAATAACTAACTGTCGGGTCTCATTGGAAATGATTTCTCCTGAGGGCACATCTCTCTCAGAGCCGGGACTCTAACAGAGAGAATAAGCCACAACTGGGATGGTGTGTTCTCTTACAGAAGGCAACTTAGAGATGGCACATTTTGGGGCGGGTAAGAAATGAGACTGAGAACGTTACAGCTGCAGGCTGCTTCGGGATTTCATTGAAATAAAGCTATCGAGCTTATCTCAGGGTGGGCCTTCTGGTTGCTTTTTTTTCCCCCCCTAAACAAACCATGAAGTGGGAAACCAAAAGGAAGTGGCATCAAATGCAAACATGAGTCCTATCGACCCAGGTTTCCAGAGTCTCTGAAGCTGGGCCAGATTTCTGTATCCAAACCCCTCTGGTCAAACTTCCCAAAATGTCCTCGATCGCCCGGGGCCGCACCCTGGGGCGTCGGCTTTCACCCTTTACTAAAACAATGGTCCGGAGCCTACAGTCCCGGCCAGAAAGAGAGGATTGGCACTTTACCTTTGGGCGTCTGGCACCCTGGCGTGTGGCTGAGGGCCGCAATGTCTAAATGAAGTTGACAGATGGTGTCACTTCGGGCACCGGGGAAGGCGGCTCCCGGCGGCGGCACCCGCGGCTGCACCACTCGGTTGGGGCCGGGCTGGGAGGAGGAAAGGGGGAGGGGGAGGGAAGGAGGGGTGGGTCCACTCCCAGGGGGGCAGCTGGTTTCTGGGAGGGGAAGTAGGGACTGCTGGAAGGGGCAAAGGGAACGTTTTTCGTGAAGTCATAGGTAGTCTTGTGGGGGAGGGGGCGTCGTCCTCCTAGCAAAACGTGAGTTGTTCAGTTATCCCTCCATTTGAAAGAGGGTGGGTGGGAAAAGAGAAAGAGGACCAGAGAACAACTAAAAGAGAGAGGGGGACCCAGGAGAGCTAAAAAGGAGATAAGAGAGGGAGCGGGCCTCCAGGTTGGGAGGGGGGAGGAGTGAGCGCAACGCCCGGAGCGCGCCCTCCCCGCAGCGGCCCGGAGCGAGAAGGGGGCAGGGCGGGGTAGGGGTGGAGGGAGGGAGCGAGGGAGGGAGGGAGGACGGCCGCGGGGAGGGCGCGGGAGGGAGGAAGTCCGAGAGACAGAGGGAGAAGCGCTCCTGAAGGGAGACGTCGGGTTCGTCCCCGGGGTCCCCGCCGCGGTCGTAGCTCACGGGCGCTGCCTCCCGGCGTCCGGCCGCTTCGGCTCCGCGGCCTGGGAGGAGGTTGCGCAAGGCGGGGGCCCGAGCCTCGAAAAGGGATGCGCCGGGCGTTGCCTCCAGCCCGCCGCCGCCGCCGCCGCCAGAAGCCCCAGAAGAGCTGAGGGAGGCGACGCCGAAGCGCTGGCCCGGAGTGACCACGGCTGCAGCCCGGGCGGCGGGCTAGGGCGCTCGCCCGGCTTCTGGGCCGACCCCGTTCTTGCGCCTCCGCTCCCGGCCCGGGGCCCGCCCCCCAGGCCGGGCCTCGCTCCCGGGTCCCAGATGACTACCGAGGGCGGGCCGCCGCCGCCCCCGCCGCGCCCGCCGCCAGCCCCGCTCCGCCGCGCGTGCAGCCCGGCCCCCGGCGCGCTCCAGGCCGCCTTGATGAGCCCGCCGCCCCCCGCCGCCGCCGCCGCCCTGGAGACCACCTCGTCCTCGTCGTCGTCGTCCTCCACCTCCTGTGCCTCGTCCTCCTCCAACTCGGCCAGCGCTCCCTCGGCCGCCTGCAAGAGCTCGGCTGGCGGCAGCGGCTCGGGCGCGGGGAGCGGGGGCACCAAGAAGGCGAACTCGGGGCTACGGCGTCCCGAGAAGCCGCCGTACTCTTACATCGCGCTCATCGTCATGGCCATCCAGAGCTCCCCCAGCAAGCGCCTGACGCTCAGCGAGATCTACCAGTTCCTGCAGGCGCGCTTCCCCTTCTTCCGCGGCGCCTACCAGGGCTGGAAGAACTCGGTGCGCCACAACCTCTCTCTCAACGAGTGCTTCATCAAGCTGCCCAAGGGCCTCGGACGGCCCGGCAAGGGCCACTACTGGACTATCGATCCGGCCAGCGAGTTTATGTTCGAGGAGGGCTCTTTCCGCCGCCGGCCGCGCGGATTCAGGCGGAAGTGCCAGGCGCTCAAGCCCATGTACCATCGCGTGGTGAGCGGCTTGGGCTTTGGGGCCTCGCTGCTGCCCCAGGGCTTCGACTTCCAGGCGCCCCCGTCGGCGCCTCTTGGCTGCCACGGCCAGGGCGGCTACGGTGGCCTCGACATGATGCCCGCAGGCTATGATGCCGGCGCAGGAGCCCCCGGCCACGCGCATCCGCACCACCACCACCACCACCACGTCCCACACATGTCGCCCAACCCGGGCTCCACCTACATGGCCAGCTGCCCCGTGCCCCCGGGTCCCGGAGGCGTCGGTGCAGCCGGCGGTGGTGGTGGCGGCGGCGGCGGGGACTATGGGCCGGACAGCAGCAGCAGCCCAGTGCCTTCATCCCCAGCCATGGCGAGCGCCATCGAGTGCCACTCGCCCTACACGAGTCCAGCGGCGCACTGGAGCTCGCCCGGCGCCTCGCCTTACCTCAAGCAGCCGCCCGCCCTGACGCCAAGCAGCAACCCCGCGGCCTCTGCAGGCCTGCACTCCAGCATGTCCTCCTACTCGCTGGAGCAGAGCTACTTGCACCAGAATGCCCGCGAGGACCTCTCAGGTAACGCATCGCGACCAGAGTGGTCCTCTGCGGGCCTACATCTATGCCTCTAGGTCCAGCCAGCGGCTACTGCCACTCCCTCTGGGACAACAAAGCTTCGGGTCTGAGGGCATGTGGGGGAGCGGATGCTGGGGAAAGCTGGAGCCTTATTCTTGTGGGGATGCCGGAGATCTGGGTCTCACTGCTCTCCCAGGTGCCCATAGCCAGGAGCAGGGCCTCCAGAATTGCCCAGCTTCTAGCTTCTAGGATGATGGTGCAAAGTCGCCTGCCTTTCTGGCCTCATGGATGGCTCTATATGGGCTTTGGATTTCCTGATTCAGGCCTGATTTAGTTTTGAGAGAAAGCATGTGGCCTTTGGGGGACCTTGACCAAGGAGTTGTGTTTGGTTCTAGTTCTTCTTGTCCTTTTTTTTTAAAGTTCATTTTTCTGTGCCTTTGTCAAAAAGTAAATGTCAGTTCTGTATCTTGGAGTGTATGTGTGTTGGGGGGGGGGGAGGATTTCTTAACTCAGCGAGTGTTGAGAGGAGGGGACAGGGAAGGCAGAGGGAAAAGCAGAATGGGGTCCCAGGGTCTTTCACTGGAGGAACATTGTCAGTGGAGGGGGCACTGGCTGTTGAGGAGTCCCACATGCAGTATGGACCTCGGTTGGTGACACATGAATGTCCCCAGGCAGCAGAACCTGAGAACTCTGCTGTAAATCCCCTGAGAAATGTGCCTGGAGGCTACTTGTAGTGTGGCTGATTTAAATTGTATGGGTTACAGATTATGAAAATTTATTGACTTGTGGAAAGCAGTGAAAGGTGGGAGGAGAGATTGGGGGGGTAGAGAGAATTTGAATATTTGGCCAGCTTTATCTGAAAAATAAACCCTTATTAACCCCTAAGGAGGACTGGGCTGCAGATTAAAATCCGAAGTCTGCCTGTCAAAGGCTGGGCCCAAAGGTGTTCTGCCTCACATTACCTCCCTCCCTGATTAGAAAATCGTTCACAGAATAATGCATACTTTATATGTTCATGATGTCGTGTGCAACAAGGACATCAGGGGAGAAAGGAAGCCCAGAAATGGGCAAAAGATGTTGGTTCCCTGAACAGAGAAATTTCCCAAATAGGCCTTTTAAATGCGGGTCTCAGAGGTTAACTAAACAAAGACAGTCTCGGCAGGACCACACCAGAGAGGATTTTAGCCTGACTTAACCCACTGAGAGCAGAGCCTTGTTCAATTTTATGGGAATTTCAACAAGTAACCAATACAGACACCCCTCTTATTCAGCACCCCCGCGCCGGCTGTCAATCTCTTTCCCACAGTAGGCTGGAGCCCACTGGCACCCTTGCTTGCCTGCCTGCTCTTCTCCCAGCCCCCAAAGCCACCTGGTCTTCTCGAAGTCCCTACTCAACTTGAACCCAGACTCCAAGGCTTCCTAGTGCCAGGAAACGGTAACAGAGGAAGAAACAAACAAACAAAACAGGCAGGAAAGGGGCTCCAGATCTTTACGTGAGGCCGACCTTGTCCCATCCCTCAAGCCAGGCCCACAGGCAAGCCCCTAAAAATCCCGGGGTCTGCAAGCACGATTCTAGGAGAAGACAAAAACTTCCGAAAGCAAGCAGGCCGGCGTCCGGGCTCCAGCCCATCACCTCCCGGGGCTGACCTTCCTGGGAACTCTCTGTCTGGGAACGCTCTGGAGGCCCTCAATAGCTCAGGCCTTCCTGTATCACTCTGAGGCCCGGGGACCTTTGGTTTGAGCCCAGTGTGCACAGGAGACCATAGCATCCTCCTTCCTCCTCTTGCTGTCTTCCCCGTCTTGTTGGCTTCTCCCAATCGGGCTTGCGAGGAAGGAGCAGACTGGGTGCGCCCGGCTCTAACTGGGCCTGGTTTGGAACCCACTGAGACTGAAGGCCGGGAGGCCGGACAGGGTTGAGGACGTCCACCACAGTTCAGCGAGTGTGCCCACATACACACGCACACAGCACGACCCTCCCGCCCCCAGCTCACCCACGCTTTCCATGCTGTCCAATTTTCCGATCCCATGACCGTGGCCGGTGTGTTGAGAGACCTCGGACAGCGAGGCCCGCAGGGGCCCGAGTGGCCTCGCGCTCTCATTCAGCCCCGAGATAGTAGTATCTCGGATTTTTGTCATCCCGCGCAGCACATTAAAGTGAAGACTGTTTGGAGGCATGAGCTCTTGCTCTCTGCCCTGCAGGAGCCTGCTCTTTCGTGGTCCAGGAACTGGCATTAGCGTGCTGAGCGAACGCACCTGTGTGCAGGGCAAACCGCACGGGTCCGGGACGCGTAGGTCAGCGGTTGCTTTAATAAAGCAGCGCAGTTTTTGTTAGCAGCTAGCACGCAGACGACCGCCAGGACCGAGTCGCCGGCCATTGAGCAGCCTGGTCTCTCCGCAGGAGCCTGGGGTGACGCGAACAGGGCCTAACCCTCATTGGTCCCGGGTACGGGGGTTTTTCTTCTACTGAAAAACTGAATCCCGCCCCCGGCATGAATGTGTGGTTTATGCTGCCCACACCACCAGGGTGACCACAAATGAACCAAGCAAATGAGCCTTACCCAGCCTGGCACCAAAAAGAGGCGGAGGCAGGAGATGCTGGGACCCAGAGCTTGCCGGACACCTTTGACCGATTGCGCTCCGGGGTCGGGCCGCCAAGAGGCGCCGAGAAAGCAAAAGCAAAAGTGGGCGGCGGGTCGGTGCTGAGAAGCGCCAGGCTCAGGCCCTGGGCGGAGAAGCAGTCCTTGGGGAGCAAGGTATAGGCCTTCACCATCCTCTACTAGCATGAGGCTCCCTCAAAATCTCCTTGTGCTGCTATATGCCTTCCCTGAGGAGCATTTCTCTGTCCCCAAAGTCCTGGCTTCTCTACATGAAGTCTTAAGACTATTGTGACTGAAGCCGCTTGTGGACAGAAGAGAGCTGCACTTACTTTTCCTGTCCCTTTCTCTTGCAATGGAATTATTTTTTGTCATCCCCCTTTGGCACAGGGAACCATCCCTGTGCTGCTCACTACTCTTACCAGGCCAATCAATTGGAAAATAAAGCTCAAAGCGAGAGGGGAAGAGGGCAGTGATGGTTCTGGGGGAGGGCGCTTGGTCCCGCATTGCACCCAGGATTCAGGGCCTGGATGTTGTGGTCTCAGCCTGCGCTCACCCGACTCAGACCACAGCTCTGACCCCCAGCCTCAGAGTGATATGGGAATTCAGGAATACAAGAGATCTTGCTCTTGCCTCAGACCACACCAAAACATGATTCCAGAGGCATCTAAGGACTAAGGACAGATAGTTTGAAACAGTGATTTTTCAGAGCTGGGTTTTATCTACCCCTCTTGCATCAGCAATGCACCAAAAGTACACACCAACAGTTCTGTACCCTGAGTCAAAATTAAGATGCGGTAAATTGAAATTTTAAAAACAATGCACCCCGTCATCAGTTGGGTGACTTTGTGTCTGAAATGAGCCCCCCTCTCTCTTACTTCTTTCAGTGGGACTGCCTCGTTACCAGCATCACTCAACTCCAGTGTGTGACAGAAAAGATTTCGTCCTCAATTTCAATGGCATTTCTTCTTTCCATCCTTCGGCAAGTGGGTCTTATTATCACCATCACCACCAGAGCGTGTGTCAGGATATTAAGCCCTGTGTCATGTGAATGGACAAAGGCCACATGAAGGCCCTCTCTCTTCTCTTTTCATCTTCCCCTAAGGGGCAGATAGGAACTTCGAAGGACTCACACAATGTGCACGCGGATAGCAGTAAGTAGCACTCTGTCACTTAGCCTGAATGCCCAGGAAAGCCTCGTATGCTGATTTTTTGCCTACCATTGGAAGAGAGAAAACCTTGGCAAGATAATGCACCAGATGAGGGAGAGCATGAACTAAGGGATGGTAACAAATTACCACATGTAAAACATAAACTTAAAACTCTGGGATGGCCATTGCCTTCAGTAATCAGGGTCTGAAAAAAAGCAGACAAGTTGCGTGTATGTGTGTGTTTTTTCTTGGTCTATGAAAACTTGTGTGCTTTTCAAAAAGGCAGTGCTAAGCACAAGATTTCAAGAAAGCCTCATCTTGTTGCCTAGCTAGTTAGGAGAATTCTGTTTCCCCCCCCAAACACTAGGTTTGTATACAGGTGCCAAAGAACATTAAGAAGAAATGATTTAGAACCAACCACATCTATTTTAAGAAAATGGTTCTCAGTATTGTGACAATACAACATTTTTACAAGGTTGTTTTCTACCACCATATTTTAAAGATATTTTTATGATCTTCTCGTATACTCACACTTTGCTTGTATTTTAAAAGGAGGATATATTTGCACTTATGTATACTTTTACAGTTTGCCAAAAAATATTTTGATGTAAAATTTTTTTTCAATAAAATGTATATAACAAGTAGTTGTTTTAGGGATCTGTTTCCTCTACAGGCACCCTGCTATGGATGCATCAGTGGCCAGGTTCTCCCCCACCCCACAACCCCCATCCAGCATTGCAACTCTACCCTGCCCACCCCCACATTGTATAATTGATGTGGTGTGGGGTCTGTGCCTTGAGTAACACAGGCCAGGTTGTGACTATGGGTCTTCTCAGGAGAAAAAAGAGGGAATGCTTTCTGTTATTTCTTTCTCTACTTCACCCTCACTTTTTTTTTCTGGCTAAACAAAAAACAGAAGGTGAAAGGAACTTAAATGAAAACCAGGAAAGATAAAGAAAGGCGGACAGTCTGATTTGAGGAAACAAGCTCTGTGTCCCTTTTGTTTTCTTTCCTGTGCCCCAAAAGATTTCTGTTCTTTGTTCTTTCCTCCTCCTCACCAGGTCAAGGTGGTGGGGGAAGATGTCGGGGCAGAGTGGTAAGCCGTCATCTAGCACCTGTGTGATTGGGGCTTACCAGCCCAGTGAGGGTAAGGTGCCCAAAGGACGGGACCTGCGTCTCCTTGGCAGGTTGCAGTTTTATTATGGCTGGTGACAGTACTGAAGGGTTCTTGGGGAAGGCTGCTGAGGGTTAGTGAAGGAAACCCCAAGCATCTGGGAGTTTAAAGCTGACACCCAGTTTTAACAGAGGTTTCGCTCAGGGGTTCCTTTAACCCCTTTTTTTCCTTCTCTTGTTGGGCTTCCCAATCATGAACACAACACAAAGAGCTGGTAAAGCTCTGGATTAAAAAGAAAGAAACAAACAAACAAACAAAAACAGACAACTAATAGAAGGCCTTATTTCTTCCCCAGACCATCCTCTCTGTCTGACCTTTCCTTCACTCTCTGAGCAGGAACAGAGAAATGTTCAGCCATAATCACACTGTGGTGGTTTTTCTGTTCAACTCAGATCTGGATCTTTGGTTTTGTTGTTGTTGTTGTTGTTTTTTTTTTTTTTTTTTTGCTTTTACTGAGTGGGATACTCACCTTTGTTTCTGAGCCCCTGAAAGGTCTTCCTGCTAATCCATTACTAGGCACTTAGTACCACTCTGGAGAACTCTTATATGTTGGGGATTTTGGTGTTCCAAGTGAATTTCAGTCCAGGGACTGTCTCCTGAGTAAAACGTCTTATTTTTAAAAGTCATCTTCCTAATCTTCCTTCCTCTATTTTACAAAAATTAAGCTGTGATTTAAACATTTTATTTTGTCTATTATATTTGTAGTTAAATAGGGACACACACACACACACACACACACACACACACACACACACACCCTTGCCCCCTTTCTTTTTCTTTTTCTTTTTTTTTTTTTTTTGTCTTTTCTTTTACACTGAGCTACTCGGGGGCCTGCTATAAATTATGAAGTCAGTTTCAGAGTTTGCTCCGACCACAGTGCTGTGTTTACATTCCTTCCGAGGCAGCCGGCATGGTCGTAATTTATATCCTAAACACTTGAACGTAACTTGTTTATACAGAGAATGACAGGACCTCAAAGACAAAAACTCCGCGTCTGTCTGACTGACCGCATTGGGAGGGCCAGCGCGCCCCCTGGTGGTGCAAGGAGACCCACGCATGGGGATCGCCGGTCCTGTAAAGAACTCCAGCAACTTTACAAAATGACCCATATCGTGGTGTATTGATGACAAACATTTAGAATATCTCACTTTGAGGAATTATACTTTACGGTTTTAGGGAATACTTTTTTGGTGTTTTCTGTTTTACTCTTTCTAATGTGTTCCTGAAACCTGATGGAGATTCGATTAATGTCATCCTGAAACGTGATGGAGATTCATGGACAGTCCTGACCATATTTAGTAGGTGCTAGAATCCTGACTAGCCATCTTGGTACGTTTCTAGATTTCTCCCTAGCTAAGGTTATTGTTCGTTTCTCTTCGAGTCAAAATTGCTTTTCTCCTAACTGCCCCTCCTTCAAAGACAAGTTAATATCTAGTTCTTTTCTTTTTCTTCTCTCTGATTCTCCCCCCTTTCTTCGAGAAGCATGCATTGCTTAGTCTTAAATGTTGCTCCAGCATTCGTAGTAAGTTCTCAAAGAAGCACTTCATTGCTTTTAGAAGTGAAAATAAATGAACTAACTTAACTGGGGGTAAATGTCGCTGGGTTTTGTTTGTTTGTTTGTTTGTTTTGGTGCTGAGGATTGGACCTAGGGCCTCTTACATACTAAGCAAATGCTCTACCACTGAGCTATATCCCCAGCCTATCCCTCAATTATCAAATGTATTTTGAACACTTAGTTTTCTATTCATTGACATAATAAAATGATTTATAAAAAGACATTTGACTATTTTGTGAAAGAATTGTTTTTATTTATTTTTAGTTAAGGAAAAGGCCCTATCCTTATGATGTGGGGTCAGTTAGCTGCTTTTCATCATCATAATTAATACCTAAGATAATCAACTCATAAGGAGGAAAAGTATGTTTTGGCTCAAAATTTTGGAGGTTTTAGCCAAACATGATCAATAGGCCTCATTCCATTCAGGACAGCAGTAAGGCAGAGCATCCTGGCAGAAGTGCATGGGGGTGGTAGAACAAATTGCTCACTTCATGACCAGAGAGTTAGAAAGGGAAGAAGATTGGGATTCCACCATCCCCTTTAAGGGCAACCCCCACTGACCTGAAGACCTCCCACTATGCCCCAGCTACTAAAGACTCTTCACCTCCTAATAACACCAAGGGCAGAGGACCAAACCTTTAACACTCAGGTCTTTAAGTGACATCCAGATCAAAATTAAAGCATAGGGATCTCAATTCTATTTGCAGATCTGCATTAAGTCATGGTTGTTATGGGTTCAGCCAATGTGTTCTGATTTCAGTTCCTTTCATGCATTTCCCAGTGTTATATAGGAGAACTTTACATTTGACATTGCAGACATAATGGCAGAGGTGGTCTGCACTCAGAAGTAGTTGTTCTCAAACTTGAGTGTGAATCTTCGTTGCCTGGAGAGCCCACACACATTTGCTCTTTCAGTGGGTCTGGGGCAGGTTTCAAGAATTGGTATTACTTCACTAGCACTGAAAAAAAAAAAATCACAAGTAATGCAGATGATACTGGTCCAGGGACTACACTTTGAGAACCATAGCTCTAGAAAGACAGTTTGACAGATATTTACAGGTTCCAATGGAGGGTGTTAAGTCTAGCCCATTAGTTAAGCACAGATCTAAAATGGAGAGTTGTTTTGTTTTGTTTTGTTTTTTAATTTGCCTACCCACATGCCTCTGTCATTAATTACTGGCCCCTGGGAAAACACTAGTCCTAACTTTGAACCCTGCACCACAAAATAGAATCTCCCCATTTTTATTCAAAGCCACAGCATGCTTGTTTTATTCCAAAAGATTTTGCACAGGGGAGTCAGGAGGAGTCATTAAAGTCTTCCTGGTCAGAAGAGCAATAAGTCTCAGTACTCACACACAGCAGCAATGTCAGAATTCTCCAAACAGGAGGTGGCTCAGGAAAAGAAATTCTCCTATTGGTTGTAAAACCTTTTGAGGGTGGAACAGAGAAGGGAAAGAAAAGGGGCTGTGATCTCAGAGTACAGCGATAGTGATGCTAGTTACAAGTGGGCCAGGCAGGATCCTGACGGTAGGAGAGGGGAGGCAGGAAGGAAGAGAGAGAAAAAAGAAAAAGGGGGAGGAAGAAACAGAGAGAGCAAGGGAGGGGAAGAGGAGGGAAAGAGAAGACAGAGATCTAGAGAGGAATCTAAAAACCCACTGTGAGAATGTAGAAGTCTGATTTCTGGAGAAAATCTTCAGGCAATCAGAACAGGCCACCGTACGACATTAAACAGAATTAGCAAGCTCCCGCCCGAAAGAAAAACTCTCTTTGCAGACTCATGTATAGCTAATTACTGTGCATCATGGTGATTAATTCAAAACAGGCACCAACTTATTTAGAATGGAAATATATTTTAATGTATTTTATCAGAGAGGAAATGTATCTTACCAAACCTGCCTCTCTGAAACACTATCTTAGCAAGGGAAAATATCACAAATGTAGACACTGGGAGGGCCAGGCACACAAACGTCAAGATCATTGGGGTAAAAATGAAAGTCCTGGAAGTTCTTTTGGAGTTCAGAGTGCCCCGAGGCCACAGCAATCCAAATGATAAATATTCAGCTCTCCATTTCCTGAGGCTTGTGTGTGTGATGCAGAACCCTGCCCATCCCATGGCTGAACTGCCAGCCCTCTTGGCATAAATGTATTCATGAGAGAACAGAGAAGAGTTCTGAGGAGCAGCAGGAAGCTGGTGCCCTGCACAGCTTTCCCTCCAGCAGGGCCCCATCCCACTCTTTACCCGGTCACCTAGAGCTGCTGCCTCTCACCCAGGGAGCCTCATCTACAGATGGGGCAGTGAGTCTGCAGGGTGGCAGGGCACCACCTCCCAGAACTGACAGAGTACCTCCCCCCATCCAAAATCCAAACTTATTTTTCTCCCTGCTGTGTATTGAACCTACGGTCATGCTAGGCGTGCACTCTACCACTGAGCTATATCCCCAGCTCTTTACAAGCTGCTTTTAATTGGGTCAAGTCCAGCCTCAGAGCACAGGGAGAGGAAGACCTGCCTTCTTGCTCTCTCAGTGATCATTGGGATGCCATGCCATCCCCCACTTCACCACCCTAAGCAATTCCACCTGGCCCTGAGCACCCAGGAATCATCAGTAGACCATGTGAATTGATGGGCTGAGCCATAGGACCCCATAATGGTCTGCCTTCCTTTTTTTTGTAGTGTTGGGAATGGAACCCAGGACCTTACACTTGCCTCCACCACTGAGCTACATCCCCAGCCCACATCTTCCAATCTTCAAGAAGGAGGAAAGGGAACAGACTTGCTATCAGAACAGAATTGCTCTAGCAGGGTGAAACACAAGGTACCCAGGCCCAGATTTTTTGTCTGAATAGAGATTTCAAAACCATTAAGTCACCCACCAGAAGCTCACTTCTGGGGCCAGCAGTTACTGGATGGTGAGTTTGTCTGCACAACTGGTTAGCAGCCTGAGTGAGTGCTGAGCAACCCAGAAGTTTGGAAAAGACAACTGTGGCTATGGCTGCTCTAGATCCCATCTGTCCTATTAGGTCAACTTGTCAGGGGTAGGGACTGGCCCTTTGTCCTTTAAATGCTCCCTGGGATGGGCAGTATCTTGTTGATGGTTTTCAGAGATTCTTGGAGGATGGCAGTTTACAGATGAGGAAATGTAGTCTCAGGTGTGTTAGTTCATAATCCCATGGGTTCTCCTGACCAAAATTGGACCCATGCACCTGGTTCACCTTATGTCTCCTGCTCAGCTCTGACAACCAGAAACCCAGCCTCCACTCCAAGCCATGACATCAGAATCTCTGGGTGGGCTTGAGGGTCTCCAGGTGATGAGCTGAGGTTGAGAATGGCTGCTTTAGAGCCATCTGCCCCAAAGGTCAAGTGTGCAGCTGTTCAACAGACCCTCAGACCCAGTTTTTGTATTAGTTTTGCAAACTCTACAGAAAAGGGAGGCCCAGCCAGGCAGGTCACCAGGTGTAACTACATTAATCAGGTACTCAGGCTCTTTCCTAAGAGATGAGTCAAGAAAGGAGAAGCAGGGAGGTCAAGGTCACCTTGGTGAGGCTCTGTGGACTCAATGTCATGAAGCATACCACCTTGTAGGCAAGACATAGGACATTTGGACAATAGGCCCAGAGATTTGGGCTCATCTTCCCATGGGCTCTCAGAAGGGCAGCTGACAATATGCTCGTTGGCATGGTGACCATGACTGTAGAGACACTAAAGAGTATAAAGACTATAAAGTCCACTCCCCTGTGCTCTAAGGCATAGTAGTCCAGTAGGAAGTGCCACAGAGGAGCTTGCCCTAGTGCCTAAGAGAGAACAAAACCAAAAAAGCAGGGTGCTCTAGGCCACGTATGACAAAGACACACACAGAGACATACACATGTAGACACACATACATGGACACACAAGCATACATACTCACACACATGCAAGCAGAGAAACAGAAATACAGGCAAACACACATAAATACAAAAACACACAGGCACACACACAGAGACACATGTAAACATATGCACACTCAGATACACACACAAACATACACAATCACATACAGACACCACAAGATAGACACAAAAAGCGCAAACACACACACACACATTCACACACAGAGACACACTCACATAGATGCACAGACACAGGCACCAACAATCACACACAATCCTATTCACTTGTCGTTCTAGCTCCAAGTCACAAAGGCTGACATTTATCATGCCTGCCATCTTTTTGAATCTCCAAACCCACCACCAGGGTTTAGTCCTTATTGTCTGAGGTTTCCTTTTTTTCTAATAGCAGGACTTTCCTCCTACTCTGATCCACAAAGCAGAAAACACTGCCTCTTTTAAATTAAATTTTGCTTTTGTTTCCCGAAGTTAAAATTATTTTGCTGGCTATGAATAAGGCCACCATCTAGAATCTGAGCAAAGTGCCAAGTTTCCCAGGATGCAAGTAGGGCACAGGGCTCTCTCAGGAAGCCAAGGCATGGCTACTGCACAGTCTAGGGGCTCAGACTCAGCCTCTGAACATGAGGAGTCCCCAGCAATGATAAGAATAAGGCTTGGTTACCCCTTTTACTTTGGATGGCCTATTCTTTCCAAACAGGTCCAAATTCCAAATGGAACCAGGCAGGTGATGAGGCAGGGATTTCTAGTCTGGATGTTACTCTCAATCAACAATGGTCTTTACCAGCAACGTACTTGACCAACAACATACATGCTCCAGCATCAATCTTCTCTGGTGGAGGTGCTGGCCTGCAAAGTTAGGGAACCCCACGAATAGGCCACTATAGGTAAACCCCCGCCTTTGTTGTTCCCTGGGAAATAGCTCCTAAAGAAAGTATATATGCTAAAAAAAAAAATTGTCTCATAGAGGGTATTGAGCAGATGATCCACCCACTCTCAGCCCCATAGGTCTCTTCCAAAAAGCAGTCCTGCTCACAAAGGAGTTAGCTGGGCCATCAGAGACAGGCAGACCTGATGACGTTATGGAAATCTTAGTCCTACCAATAATGTTGTGACTTACGCTGTTTGTGCTTCGGTTTCCTAAGCTGGGCAACAGGGGTACTAATATCAACTTTAAATCAGTGGGTGATCAACAGTGCTACAGAGCTGTTCCTTTCTGGCCTCATATAGGTGATCCTGATACTGTTCTCGTCCTCAGTTTTTCTATAAGCATAGAAGCTGGGAGGGTAAAGCTGCAGGGGATTGGATCTTCTCCCTCTGTGTATAAATGAATGGAGTCCC